TATTTTCTTAATATCGCACATTAAAACAGTATTATATTATCATAAACACACTCTCTCTTCAACTGCTCTCACTGTAGACCGGCTCAGTCTTTTGACCTCCAACCTCAAGTATGATGCCCCTATTGTTGGACCGGATGCACTGCAATCAAAATTTTAATATTTTAGCATTTTGTAAGTCAAACCTGTCATGTTTGCAGTGGTTCTGTGATATGGTTTGAAGGAAAGTACACTTATCAGTATTAGACATCCAAACCACCTGAGGAAATCACATTTTACCAGAACATATAGATATACACATATGACATCATCTACCTACTCACACAGCACTCACATAAACATTGTGTTTGATTGTGACTGATTGTTTATTTTCATATTGAGGAAAATATCTATGGTTCTAACATTTCCATAGTCAGACTGTTTTCTGCCGCTTTGTGTTTGAGACTGAGTTGAAGTTTCTCATGTGGAAATGCCAGCAAGAAAGAAGGAAAATCATTTTCCAGAGTTCCCCTCCGCTAAGCAACATCGCCACCTGCTGTCAACCAGACAAACTGGCTTATGTCCACAGGTTCATATACTGTAAGAAGCCCAATGACAGCTGCTGGGTTTTGAACAGCAGACTTGTAAAGCTGGACAAAGTCTTGCTCCGTTCAACACATTTCTGCCAAAAGATTTGCTCTCTCTCTCTCTCTCTCCCTCTCTTTTTTTTTTTTTTTTTTTTTTAAACCTGCAATTGGTTTTCACAGATCCAGTTTGTAACCCAGCTAAATCTGAAGCTCACTTACTGAAGTGGAGCTGTGAAGTGTGTCATTCTTATTCTGCCTTTACACATGATACTATCCCTGTCTACCCAGAGTGGGACTGATTACTGGATGATCAGTCAAGCTGAGCATCTTTAAAGTTGGATGGCTGGATGGATGGATCGATATCGCCTGAATAAATAGATGAAACTAAAACAAAATTACTTGCTTTGGCCATTTGGGGATTTTTTTTCCTTTATATTATCTTTTAAGCTTCTGTGATTATCATGACTATTAAAATCAGCCTGTGCATCAAACAATACCCTCAGATAGGACATCTTTAATGTGTGTCCCTGGGGGTTTAGAGGTCACTGGCATGCGAAGGATCAACACATTGGTTTAAAGATAAGGGAGGCTCATGTTTGCAATCTGATGTTTTCTTGTGGAACGCAGAAATAAATGACAGAGGACACAGGGGAATTTCCCTCAGAGGAGCGCAGTGCTTTTCAGAGGGATGTGCTGGCTAACCGCTGCCCAGGCTGGGCTTCCGGCCCTGGGGCAGCAGCGCCTGCCGGTACCCCTCACACCCTGCAGCACCACCACTATCACCCCACTCCAGACACTGTGCCAGGATACTGTGGTGACACAACCCTGGGCCTCTGTTCCTCCCTTGTCAACAAGAGTGATGGAAGCAGAGAGGAGGAGAGGAGAGAAGAAGAGGACAGGAGGACTGATTGATATTTAAAGTGACAACAGCTCAGAATATGCAGAACAGAGGAAGGATTCAAACATTTGAGAGATAATGTTAGAATGAGGGTGTGAATGAAAGAAACTGAGGACAGTGAGGATGAATAGAAAGAGGCAGGATAGGAGTTAATAGTGATTTATTTTTATATCAATAATTACATGAAATGAAAGTCTCCTTTGAGGCGTTTGGCTGTATTTTTTGAGGCTCATTATCCAGCACATTTCAAGAGTATCTCTTAAAGACAAAAACTTTATTAGACCAACAGGACCTTTGCCAGGGTCTAATTTAATGCAGGTTTGTTTTTTTTACCAGTCATCTTCTGCTGACATAAAGCTTTTCTCTCAGTCTCTCCAATATGATCAGGAGCCACCAGGGGGCAGAACAACCTTTTAACCTTGTATTGTTTTCTCCAGTAACACAACGAAACACACACAAGCTCACACAGTCAAAATCAAATGAGAAAGCTGATAGGTTTAATGGCTTTTATGGGTGACTGATCTTGATTACTTATGGTTAACTATCTCTCTGCTGTGTCTGTGTGTGTGTGTGTGTCTGTGCGTGTGTATGTGTGTGTATGTGTGCGTGCGTGTGTGCATGTGTGGTTGGTGTGTGTGTGCGTGCGTGCGTGTGTGTGTGTGTGTCAAGACAGAAAAAAGGGAAAAGGAGCTTGCGGTTGCATAACAATAATTAAGGCGGCATGATCAAACCGTCTTCAGTGGAAGCCATTTTATTTCTAATGTGCACTTGTTTTAATGAAGTCAAGCACATCAAGCACCTCCATATGTACAGGTCTCCTGTGTTTGTGTGTGTATGTGTGTGTGTGTGTGCACATGAATACAGGCATGTCCCAGTGTGTGTATAATTGGTGTATGTGAAATACCGTGGCTGGTCGGGAGTCTGCCTGCGGTGTGTCTGTGTGTTCAGATCAGAGCCTGCTGAGCCTCCTCACTGGCTATTATTAGACACACTGCTTGTTGGACAGACTGACAGCTCATTATGAAGACTGCTAAAATAGGTGCAGCCTTTTACACACACATACACACACACACACACGCACACACACAGACAAACGTCACTTGTGCACGGCCAAACTCAGCACTCTCACATCATCTCTAAACTCCCAGAAAAGCCTTTGTGAAGCACAGCCAGAGGGAGCCGCCCGCCTGACGCCAACATGAAAAAGCACTTGAGGCTTGAGAGTGTGTGTGTGTTTCTGTTTGAGTCAGTGTGTGTTTGACTTCATAGTAGTGGGAGGAGGGCGGTTTTGGAGTATGACGACAGGATAAACCTCCCAACAGTCAGCGTCAGTGTGCTCATGGGAAAGTATAAGTAAGGTGAGGTAGAGAGGTGAGAAAAATGGCTTCTCCAAAAACTGGGTCTCTCTCTGTTTACTGTCAAACCGTGAGCTTTGGGTTTGGCTTCATATTAATACAGTTGGAGGCAGAACACAGGGTCTTGTGGGTAGATAGAAATGATTTTAAATCTCTATCTGTTCTTCTCCATCTCTCTCTCTCTCTCTCTCTCTCTCTGTCTATGGCATGAATGACGTGATGATGGAGTTTGAATTTGAGGAGCTGTGTATCACCCATCTGTTAGAGCCTCCCTCTGCAGGGACATGATGACCTCTCGTAAGTTAGACACTTTCTCTCATGACACCATCTGACCTAACACACTTGAGAATACTATTGCAGACAGCTTGACTAGGCAGGTAGTGGCACATACAAACTCCCAGGGTTAATCCATGAATTCTTCTAGGATCACTTTTATGAACAGTTTCAGTTATGTTTCATCTGTATCGTGTTGTGTGGCAGTAAAATATAATCATCCTTTATGTATAAGCAGTGTGTGTATGTACATACATGCCTCGCCAGACATCCAAGCTATTCATTCAATTACCACAGAAGGTTATTTTTTAATGTGCAACAAAGATTCTGGAAATGTGCAACTATTACAAGCAGTATTTTCAATATCTATTCCTTTTTTTCCCCAAGAGAGTAGCCAAACAAAAGTAAGAGCAAAGTATAATGTAATATGGAGTTTAGCCTCAAACAGTCTAGTGAATATTTAAACATTATTTTTTGTAATTCTTTTGATCTATTAGCTGCCATCTGCATTAACTGATAAAAAACACGACTCTAACATTAGAGTTGTTCCGATACCAATGCATTGGTAGTTTTTGAAATACCTCCGATACCGCCTGAAATACCATATCAGCTGTGTACACAAGTCTATGCACCAGTCCGATACATACACATAATTTATTAAGAGACTTTATAGTTTCACACCCGGATAAAATGGCAGTTTTCCCAGAAAGCATTTTTTCTTCACTGCTCTAAAACAGTAGCTTAAACAGAAAGTTGTGTCTTGCCAACCTGGAAGTTAGCATCCCCCTGGCTCCCTCGACAAACGGCTAATGGGACTTGCCCTTTGGATTATTGCAGCTCTGTGACAAACAAAAGTTTATGATACTCACACATTTTGTTCAGAATGAAAACCACTTTTATGATTTTTGAAGCCTAAATACAATCACCAGAAGTAAAAAGCTATAGGCTATAAACGAACCACACCACAGTTGTCTGACTTCAACATCGCCACCACTAAGCTTCCAACTTGTAATTTGGTTTAGCACGTTTACCTTTTCTACAACAGCTTTTCATCTCAGAAAGTTATCAAAAGTTTGCAAGAGCGTGAATATAAACACAATGAAGGTATAAATGCGGACTGAGTAGATTGGTTTTCAGCATGATGGCGTTTAATGTCTATGAAAACCTCTGTAGTCTCATTTAGTCACTTGTTAGCGTCTGCCTTTTTTAAGACACATAAAGCTTTTTAAAAAATAGGGTGGGGTATTTACTGATGTATTTTATGTCATAGAATAAAACGTGAAAATGTCTTGAGCTTGTGTTAACCACACCCCTTATTTCAGACATCTAAGCAAAGACCCTTTCAAAAAACCCATTGACTTCAGGACAAACTTATTTCCGGGTCTCACTCCTGCAGCACTTGATGGTGTAATATTGACTGATTATTAAATACAAGTAATATGGCAATATGTTACCCTCTAATGTTCCACCCCTAAAAAGGCAACGTGTAGGCTTTAATTTTGAGAGATGCCCCTAGTGTTAGGACTACTAATGTAGGAAGTGTTATTTATGTCAAGATTTATTTTTTATGATGGACAGACATACTAGATAATAAAAGAAAGATTCTATGACATTCGTGTATCTGTTCATGTTTTTACAAAGGGTTTAACCTGAGCCCTGCCATATAGCAGTGACAGCAATCATATCATGTCCATACAGGGTTAATATCACACAGCTGTTCAAAAAATTTTTTTTTAACGTAATGGTATCGGATGAGTACTCTGTATCGGCCAATACACAAGGTCAAGTATCAGTATCAAAACGGTATCGGAACATCTCTATCTAACATCTGTTTCTCATCTGTGGCTGGCATGATTACAGTAGGTTACTGTAATTGTCAAATTTTCCATTTGAGAAATGTCATCATTAGCTTTAGGATGTCCCCACAAAGTTCCTGGGTCTTGTTTTCATCTCCACCCTCTTGAAGGAGTAGCGTTCTCCTGTTCGTCCGTCTGTCAGGATGTACCATGTCCCCCAGTAGATACCGTTAGTCACCCCACTGTAGCGCCCACGGTAGTATTGTCCGTTCAGGTTAGCTGCAAGGCAGGCATCAAACCACCAGCCTGCACCGTAGTAGTGACCACAGTTTCCAGCTGCATAGCGGTCGTGGTCTCGGTCAGCAGTGCTGAAGGATCTGCCGTCGTGGTTGTAACGTTTGCTGTAGCTCAAGGCATTGCCTGCATCTCCAGAGTACTCACGTGCTGTCAGACGATACCTGGAAGAAAAGAGACATAACATATGACAGAATGTGAGAGTTGTGTGTAACATTTTATGTGTGTAGCGTAGAACCAAGTGGGCACACACAACTGTCTACAACAAAAGGACACATTCTCCATTTTACTCAATGGATGCTGAAGACTTTGAAACTCGGTTATTTAATTATTATTATTATCAATGCAGCAGATGAGCTTCAGGGTAGAGGAGTGATTCTTCATTTGCTTAAGTGACCTTTTAGACACAACATTTATTTTCCAATCTTCTGTCTATTTTAATTGAAAGCCCTTTTTTTTACCATGAGTGATAGGATCCTGCCAGAATGCAATATTTTCCACAACAATTTAGGTTATTTGGTGGTTATTAAATGACAAACCCGATCAAACTACACCCACACAATCCCAATGTTTTTGAGTGTTAACAAATAATAACAATGACATTTTTTCCTAAACTTTAATTGTTGCTTATTTAGTTGTGAATGTTCTAGATAAATACTTAAAGTTTAATGGGCTTTAAGATAGTTGATTCGGCCCACCCATCTAACTATTCTAACAAGTGCGGAAAGTGTGTATTTGTGCATTGTGTTTCACCTCTGTGCCTCTGAGGCTACTTTGAAATTGTTGTAGGTAGCATGGCGTCTCTGTTGGTGCCAGTCCTCCAGCTCGATTCGGAGTTGGTGTTGGCCAGAGGAGGTGAGGGCGTACAGCGCCGCGTTCCCCAACCAGTGCTCTCCCTGTGGACTTCCAAAGCCCTCCCGGTATTCTTGCCATGTCCTGTTGAAGTCCAGCGAACCGTCCTGCCGATTCTGGATCACCGTCCAACCACCGCCCGCCGTCTCCATGTCACATTTAGCCTGAGCCACAGCAAAGACTTTGATATTATAAAGCCTAGATTTTACTGATCCACAGATAGCATACACATCTCTAAAAGAAGCGGAGTAGGGCGGGGGGTCTGTCTGTGCATTTTATGAGTGTGGTGAATGTGAAATACCTCCAGTGCTGGCCTGTGCAGGTCAGGCTGGATGGTGTAGATTCCATTCTCTTTGATGCCGAGCCTGTAAATCTCCGCACAATCCTGAGGATGTAACTTCTCCAAGGGGGCGACTGAGAACCACACACAGTGCACTTTTATTCAACTTAATAATCAACAACAACTGTATCATGTGATCAATTCTCACGCCTTTACCTGTGGGTGGGTATTGTGTGATGCTCTTCAGGAAAAGCAGCAGGTCTTTCTCCCCCTCTCTTCCCACAGCTGCACTCTCTGTCAGCCCAGAGAAAGATTAAGTTATCAGTGAAACACATCACGCTGGGTCTGAAAACAGAAGCTTTGTCTTTATTTACTGCGCGGAGGGCTTCCACTTTGTATGATAACTCTTTAAAGCTTCCTGACGTCGTGAGAAATACAGTATGTATGTGTGTCTGTGAGTGCGTGTACACAGAGTTCTTCTCATCCTTCTCTTTGCAGTTAAATTCCTATGCACTCACCTATGACCGACACTTAGCAGGCCTCATTGAGGTTCTGTTTACTATGTGTGGGGGAGTGACTGCGCTGGCATTTGTGTGTGTGTGTGTGTGTGTGTGTGTTTGTCTGTGTATTGCAGAGGTGGGGGATATAAATGTGTTCTACTCACCAAGTCGTTTGGCCATCGCTCCAAGGGCCTGGCTATGACAGTGGAGGTCACACTCTGTCAGCACAGCTGCCATCAGTGCCAGGATGGCCCCTAGAGAGTTGCTCTCCTGGCCCCCATGATTCCAGGGGCCTCCTGTTTCCTGGATAGAGCGCATGCAGCGCTGCAGCTGAACTAGACGTTCTTTGACACCTCCAGTCTGCAAAGACATTACCCACAGCTTGAAGACATTGTGTTAAACAATAGGTTAGCAGTCAGTCATAATTAAACACTGCCAAATCCTCTTCATTCTTCAAAGAAACTTCATATCTATGAATGTGGGTTGAGTGAAACAGTACTGTGTTTTTAAGTGAAGGAGGTAAAGCTGTGCATGTGCATAATCATGCATCTCAAAGGCTCACGGCTCAGTGGCATGTTTTGTGTCAGTCTCAATCTGTCTCTTACACTTACATCAGCCATTGTAATCATGTCCCTCAAACACCTGTTGCTGCATGAGCTCAGTACAACCATATGACGAGGACATTTTTAAAGCAGGTCTGATTTTATCCCTTCTTTGATTGCGGACTGTCATTGCTCCAGGGCTGTGAGGTGGTGCCAAGTTTAGTGTGCTGAATGTCCCCTGAGGAAGGACCTGCTGGCCTCTGCCCGATAGTACGCTGCTCAGTTGTTGTTGGCGCATGTGAATGAACAGACAGAGGGTCCGAACCATTTCACTCTTACTTGGCTGAGAAATATCTGAATAACAGTAGCATTATGTGGCTTGTCTTAGAATAACATTTTATGATTTGTAAGTTCGAACAAAATAAATCTTGTGAAAAGTACAGCACCTGACCTCCCATTACACTGTGATGTCACTTACCTTAGGCTGAACCTGGGGGAAATCATGCCTGTGCTCCACCCTCTGAGGTGCGTCTGAGATGGCTGAAAGTGAAACCCCTATCCTGCAGGCTGTTGTCCCAGTCTGACCCTCACAGGCCGCGGTACCCACTCCTGCTCCTGTCCCGGGCGGGATTGGTGCAGCCACCAGACTGTCCCTGCAGGGAGGCTGTGTGCAGGCTGGGGATGCATCTAAAGACAACAGGGCTCCCACATACAGCGACAGCAGAGGAAGCATACTGAGAGAGCCGAAAGGAATCATGGGAAAAAGCAGGCTTGTCCTAAACTTTGTTTTAAACTCTTTAGCAGTGGTCCGGCCTCTTTCCTCCAAGCTGTAAGTTAGTTGTCCTATAGTTGTTGATGATTCTCAGCAAACTAAGTGCCTCTTCAGTAGGAAAGTGTTTGCTGACCTCTTCTTTTAGTCTAGATGCTCCTATTGTTGTCCTTGTTTTCTACTGTCTATGCTTCTTTCATCCTCCTCTTCTCTCCTTTTCTTCCTCACTCCTCGTCCTCCTCTTTCCCCTCCTCTCTCTCCGTTAGTGAGGTTGCTTTGGCTCAGATTCCTAGATAACTGCGGCACTCTTTGCTGTCTGACACGGACTAATGCACCCACCCCCTGATGCACGCGCACACACACACACACACACACACACACACACAATCTGTCCATCTCTTTAACTCATCTCATTCTCTCTCTCTCTTGGACTCCCACACAGCCACACACAGTGCTGCATGTTGACACACACACACACATGCATCCAGAACGTGAACACAAATCCCACTATGTCTTGTCTTGAACACACATGTAATGTGACATTATGCACAATTAAATTTGTGAAGCTCTTCTCCTATCCTGTGACTGTGCCTTCCTCACATCCTCTATTTTTATACCGCTGTAATGTTTTAATTCTTCTCAAGCAACATGTGGTATTTCTCGACAGACACTGAACACCTTATGCCTTCACCCATCGAGGTGCATATGTGACAATGTTTGTCGAGATGAAAATTCAGCAGATGCCTCAAGTATGCGGCTCCTTCTCTGCCGTGTACCATTTTCTCACTTGTGTCCTTTTGTGCTGCAGTGTTTGTGTTTACAAACTGAGTTCCAAAGAGGCCATAAAGACTCAACATTCAATAGGTGCGAGAAAGCAGGAATTCCTCTATAAACACCAGAGTCATCCCACTCATCAGGACTCTGCAGAGGCACACTCCCAATAATGAGGAGGACAAACACACATGTAGACACAAAAACACACTTACACATCAACGTGGAGCAGAACGAAACCAAGATGAGGGTTAGGTTCAGTCAGAAGAAATAACCTCATAATATGAAACTGGTTTTCTCCAGAGTCCATGGCAACTCAGCTATGTGCTGTAAAAATGAAGGAGTTTTTAATTTAATGGCGTCCTAATTTTATGTTACTAATTTCACATTCCGTGATTCCGGGTTTACATTGACATTTTTACAATAAGTAACGCTATTTTTTATCTTCTTTTAAATCATATAATGTCATATCAGTATCACAGACATGTTATCAATTTAAAAGGCGTGTTTTGAAAGGACAAAATACAAATGTGTTGAACAGAACACACATACACACTCACTCACTCACACAGACACACACATGCACGCACGCACGCACACACCTTTCTGCATGTTTCATAATTGTATTTACAGTGTGTGTGTTGGTGTGTTAATTAATTGTCAAAGCTTTTCCTGGTATTTCATGTGGATTATGATGAGCTGCTTCTGGCCTCCTGGTGGTTTCCTTTCATGTGTGTTTGTGTCAGTAGGTATTATCAGATTAGATAATCCTTTGATTTGAGAAATAGAGTCTGCATGATCAGCATTCTCAATATCATCACCTTTCCTCCCGCTATTTTCTCTTTCTTCCCCTCACTTCAGACTGACAGTCTGCTGGATTGTAATGGAAACAGTCAACACCTGAGGCTGATGCAGAAGTGAACCAAAGAAGGAAACTGATGGGAAGCGTTATCACCAGATATTGTCTTGGGTATGATATCTGTCAATGTGGCCATAAACACACACGCACGCACGTACACACACACACACACACACACACAAAGACATTCAAGCACAGAAGTAGATTACTCACCTATCTTTGACCTTTATGCTTTCTTAGCATAGTGTCATTACCAGAGAGTGCTGCATCGCTAAACAAAGGTCGAAATTTTAAAATAAGATGACAGTGTCCTCTAGTGGTGGATCATCACAGCTCTCCCTTTTTTCAGTGGTTCACTAAAATCACGGATGCCATCTACCGGAAGGGGCAGAGTCGACTTTTTTTCCTCAGGAAGCTCAGGTCCTTTGACGTCTGCAGTGAAATGCTGCATGTTTTTCTCAATCAGTGGTGGCCAGTGTGCTCTTTTATGCTGCAGTCTGCTGGGGCAGCAGCATGTCAGACACGAACACAAAGAGACTGGACAAGCTGGTAAAAAAGGCTGGGTCTGTGCTTGGCAGGAGTCTGGACACACTCAGGACTGTTGTGGAGAGACGCATGCAATGTAAGATGGAGGCCATCTTAGACAATACCAACCATCCTCTCCACAACATTCTGGCAGGACAGAGAAGCAGCTACAGCTGCAGCAAACGTCTCAACTCGCTGCACTTCAGAACAGAGCGGTTCAGGAGATCCTTTCCCACTGCCATCAGGCTATACAACACATCAGACAAAGGAAGTGGACTGATCTAATTATTATTGTTTATTTATTATTAACTTCATTCATTCATTCATTCATTATTAATTTTCTGTTATTATTATTATTATTATCATCAACAATGAGCTAATTGACACATGAATTTCCCCTAGGTGATATCTATCTATCTATCTATCTATCTATCTATCTATCTATCTATCTATCTATCTATCTATCTATCTATCTATCTATCTATCTATTTATCAACCACACTGAAGCATCACTATTCCAGCACGTTATGTCAATGATATAAAGATGAAAAATATCACTAATTAGTGGGGGGAGTGATCAAAGGCCAGAGGATTTTTCAAGCTCTAGCAAGGGTTTTAGATCAATACATGTCTTATTTTTAGGGTGTGAGGGATGTAGCCTACAATGCTACAGAGTGATGGCCAGAAAGACTGAAACACTCTTACAGTGAACTTATATGCAAGAACATCAGAGTGGTTTGGTGAGGCAAATGATTACATTAATCATGCGTGATATTATTTGGGACATTACAAGGGTCAGGAGTAAGGATCATCAGAGAGGGGACAAGGCTCCATCATGACACTGCCAATGTATAGAAACTTGTCTGACACAGCCAAAACATCTGTTATGTTGTCTAGTGGGCTTTTTCTAATACAAATCCTTAACTTGTGAAACCACTCTTAGTTCCTGTAACAACCCCCATCTGGTGATAAAAATCACATGCAAGCTTTCCAAAGTCTTAGGAAATATACCCTGTTGATGTCATCAGGGTTATCTCAGCTTGGGTATGAGGCTTAAAGGTTTGAACAGTGTTTCACAAACTCTTTAACCATACTAGAGAGTCAGGATATCTCAGCCTTTGCTGCTTTGATTTTTAACCATTCTTCTCTTGTGAGACCCCAGTATGTAAGTGCAATACTTTATCACTGGAGTGCCCCTTTCGTATAAACATGGGCAGGGACCAAATAAAACTAAACTGTAAATCAATTCTTTCTAATCTTAAGATCATGATATACAATGCTGTGTAAAAGTCTTCGGCACTTAAGAATTTTAGATGATTCTCCATGGCGCAATACTATCAGTTATTGGTTCCGAATTCAGTCCACAATATGACAACGACCCCAAACACAGAGACAAGAAGAACAAGGAGGCCTGCAACAGAGGGGCTGGTCCCACATGAGCCCTGATTTTAACATCATTGTCTGTCTGCCTGGGCTCACATAGAGAGACAGAGGACACTGCAATAGCTTAATTCCACAAGAACTGCAGGCAGTTCTTCAACAACCTACCTGCCTCATACCTTGAAAAAACTGTTTGCAAGTGTACCAAGGAGAACTGCTGCTGTTTTAAAGGCAAAGGGTGGTCACACTAAATATTGATTTAATTTAGTGTTTTCTTTTTATTGCATTTTGTATGGAGTTAATTTATAAAACTTGTTTAATTTATAAAAATATATTTATCATGAAAGCATGGTGCCATACACTATAGACCAAAACTGCCAGTATTTCCGCAGAAACAATGCAGAATATTATTCAGTCTGTGATAAATATAACAGAAAGGTGTGATAGGTGGGCTGGGATCATTAATTAGCTGCGTCTGACGTAAGACGCAGGCGTTGTTTTGGATGAGGAAGTGAAAGGGGAAGAGAGAAGCTGGGGTAGCAGGTAGTTAGCTCGCTGGCAGGCAAGCCTTCAGACAAAGTGCCAAATTTACACACCAGTTTTAGATAATCTGCCTCGCCAGTTTACGACACGGGTTTTGTTAGTGTTCACGCAAAGGGCAACTAATTTTTCAAAAAATCTGAAAGGAGGCATTGCCAAATTAACGCTAGCTAACGAGTTGAGTGCCAGCGAGCTAGCTAGCTAGCTAGCTAACGTAACGCCTAGTTAGCCTCTGACGCTAACTGCTCTGAACAATAACAGCTAGTCAGCTTGCAGCCTGGTCCGGTACCGTCAACAAGTCTCCGCTCCGCTGTGGTACAAGCTGAAAGTAAGTTTTTGAGACGACAACAGTTTTGTCCGTATGTGTGGTATTTGCTCACTCATCATGCGCTCAGCGTCCTATTAACGCTAATGCTGCAACAGCTAACGTTAATGGTGGTGCAGTGTTTTTCGCGAAGCTCGTTGGCAAAAACAAGGCCGGCCTATGGCTCCTCTGGGTCCACTCCAACAAGGAAGGAGAACCGGGGAGACGAGGTCGGTCGGTCGGTCGGTCGAACAAAGCATCGTGAAAAAGGTGCCCCCCCTCCTTTATCAAACGTTGACAGTGGGAATATTGATTTCTCTAAATACGTTAGTTTTTATTTGGCGTTCATGTACACATAAGGAGGGGTGCGGGGGCCTTCACCTCAAAACTACCAGTTTTTGGATTAGTCATTCGCAAAGGTGGGTTTTGATAACATCTGTCGATGCTGGCAAGTGTCGACTTTTACACTTTTCCTCTGTCAACAATATGTGCCAGAGAAATGATGCATATCTCTGCGAACTGTTGCCAGGCAGACTGGACTTGTGTTGTGTTTTTCTGTGTGAAATAGTTTTTGTTTCGATTGTG